TGGATGATGGAAACTGTCATGAACCTGAGGAAGGAACCTCAAAGTGGTGCATTGTCGGTACAGTCTTGACCCGGAAGCGCTATAATATGGAAGCGATGGAATCCACACTGGCTGGGGTTTGGCGACCGGTAAAGGGTATGCATATGAGAATCCTGGGTTCCAACCACTTTGCTCTTTACTTTTTTCATCCAGTAGACATGAATCGTGTGATGGCAGCCGGTCCTTGGCGCTTTGCCGATCACGTCATAGTCCTGAAAGAGGCTAAGGGGGGGACGCTAGTGTCCAAGGATGAACTATTTGAGGTCCCTTTCTGGATCCAAATTCATGGCCTACCTCCAAGTCGCATAACTGAAGCAACAGGTAGAAAAATTGGTGCCGAGCTTGGGCATCTCCTTGAGGTTGATACAGGGGACGGTCATGTCTGGGGTTTGGATTTTATTCGTGTGAGAGTCCTCATTGACTCAAGGAAGCCTTTGCGTCGAGGCATGAAGCTTTCTCTCAAAGGTGATATGATCTGGGTTTCTTTTTGTTATGAGCGCCTTCCGCATTTTTGCTATTGTTGTGGCATGCTGGACCACGTCGAACGGGAATGTGAGCTGGGTTTGGAAATGGAACGTATGGGAGTAACAGAGCGTCCTTATGATGACAAGCTCCGGGCAGTACCGAAGCGTGAGCGACAGGAGGCTACTGTGAATAATGGAAGATGGCTACGTGATGCCACCGAAAACCACATCGGCGAGGACTCACGGGGGAGACGTCCAGCTCCCAAAATGGCAAGATGGCCTGTGTTGGAATCCCGCGATTGTCACGACGCGATAGCTGGCCTAAATGACCGTGATTACCGGGGAAATAAGGAGATTCTGGCTGAACAAATCAGGGGCAATAAAATGGGCAGTAATAGCCTAAATATGCACAGTCAACTGGATGAATGCCCACTCGATTTGGAAATCAAAGCGGATTTGATGGAGAGACATCCGCTTTTGGGGGATTCGCAGCAAATCATAAGCACAAGTAATGAAGTTTCTAATTTGGGAAATCCAGATGGACAGCTTCATGGGCAAGATGCCCCCTTACTGCAACATTCCAAAACAAGTGGGCCAAGGACTTTCGTCGATGTAGAGGGCATACAGAACCATTCCCACCAAGAGCCCAACTTGACTATTAAGGCCCAAGAATCAACCTCAATCTTCATGTTCTCTTCAGCCCAAAGTGACACCCCATCAAAGGCTAGATCCTGGAAGAGGGAAGCTAGGGAACGGCGCCACCGGAGCCAACATCCATCACCTTCTTCGGGGCAAATTAAAAGGAAGGAAGAGCAATTCCAGACCATTGTGGCTGAGCAACTCGACGGTCTGAAGCGGGTAAAGGGCACTAATGATGTAGGGGA